GTATGGATGGGAAATGAAAAAAAATGAAAAGTTAAATTTTGCCTCCTTTATAAAAGAACATTGTCCCATACTGGAATAAAAATATATATTTATTGGGTATATATACAAATACACTTCTTTTAGCTCTTAAAAAGTTTAGAAAAAGGCAAGTCTTGTGTCGTCGTTGTTGTTGCTCACTCAGCTCAACTTTGGATTTTGGATTTGGATTATCTGATTGATTAATTGATCTTTTGGACCAAAATTTATTCGTTAATAATAATATTTTATTAATATTTATGATTGTTTTTGTAATGGTAATTTAATTCACTCCGTTTTATTTTACGAAAATAATCAATTTCGTAATAGCCATTTTTGCGAAACGTAGCTTAAAAGACTGCAACTTTTTAAGTTGTACCTCTTCGTTCAACCCAAACTTTTGGCTATAAATATATGGTCATTCCCTTAGATTTTCCTTATACAAATTCTGAAATCTCTTCTTCCTTTCTGTATTTTTTTCTTACAAAAAAAATAAAGTAAGTGTGATTTGCTAAAGCTATTTGTATTTATTGGTGTATGATATACCGCTACACCAGTGTGATTAATCCATCCTATTATGGGAGAAAGTAATTTCAAACTTCGGGTAGTAGGAGGAGATTAAGTTTTTTAAGGACATACTGTGAAATCAGTGGGCTCAGATTTTATTCTTCATCTGCATCTCTACTTTTTTTCTTCTATTTTTACCTTGCAGAATTTGTTTCGAATACAGAAAGATAACAATTAGTACATCATGTATCAAACAAGTTTGGTTGATACCATATTGCTATATCCACAGATTGTAAACCGGAGAAGCAGGGGCAGAGGTAGAAGTCAGAAGCTTCGGTTAAATTCAGTAGTTTTTGCTCAAATTATATATTTGAATTAAAAGATTTATAGGTGAAATTTTTTTACCATGGCTTTATTAGGTCCGGGTGGTAATTTTGGGCTCGGGCATATGTCCGGATTTGTATTTGGATGTCTCTTGATAGTTTTGACGCTAATTGGCGAAAGTCGGCAATTTGGAGTCCTGGAATGTTCATAAGTTTATTTGGAAGTTGACTTTGATTGTATCAGATTCAGATTTTATTTTCGAGAGTTGGAATAGCTTCATCATATCATTTGAAACGTGTGTGTAAAATCTAAGGTTATTCCGAGTTGATTTGATATAGTTCGGTACGACTTTTAGAAGTTGAAAGTTCAAAAGCTCATTAAGTTCGATTTGAGGTGTGATTCATGGTTTTGATATTGTTATGTGTGATTTAAGGCCTTGAATAAGTCCGTTTTATGTTATGAGACTTGTTGATATGTTCAAACTGGATTTCGACGGGCTCGCGTGAGTTTCGGATGGGTATCAGACCATTTTGGGCCATGTTGTTATTGCTGGTTTCTGTTGTTACCTGCTACTTCTGGTGTTCTTCGCGATCGCGAAGGTCCAGCCACGATCAAGAAGTGTATTTTGGTAACGGCCTGCTCGATTATTTTACTTTCTAGATCCTCGTTCCCCTAAATAAGACTCTCCGTATGTATTTTTACTGTTTTATGACTTGCGAGGATGGTTAGTTCGGGTTTGGAAGGGTTTGGGTTGGAATAGAAACACTTAGTTCCTCAATATTGGCTTAAATGAGTTAAGTTTGACTTGGGTTAATATTATGAGTAAACAACCTCAGAATCGGAATTTGATGGTCCAAATAGGTTCGTATGCTGATTTTGGACTTGGACGCATGTTTGGATCGGGTTTTGGATGACCCAGGAGCGTTTCGATGCTTAATACTAAAAGTAGGCCCATTGAAGATTTTAAAGTTCTTTTAATTTGGTTTGAAGTAGGTTTTGGTGTTATCGAGGTCCGTTCGGAATTCCAAGCCTGGAAATAGTTCTGTATAATAATTCAAAACTTGCACGCAAAATTTATTTGGTGTCATTCCAAGTAGTCTAAGTATGATTCGGCGCATTCGAGTAAGTTGAAACTTAAAGTTCATAATTTAATTCAATTTGGTTTTGGTGCGCGATTCTTAGTTTCGATGTTGTTTTAGGCGTTTCGAGAGTTCGGGCAGGTCCGTATTATATTTATGGACTTGTTGGTGTAGTTTGACGGGATCCCGGAGGGCTTGGGTGTGTTTCGGACCACCCGGAGCTAAATCCAAAACTGCTGGTGTGGTGGTTCTGGTTTCTTTCTTCGCGAACGCGGAAGGACCCTTGCGTTCACGATGAAGGATTTTGGGACCGGGAACTTTTTCCGTTCGCGTTCGCTAATACAGGGCCGCGTTCGCGGAGGCCTTGAACCTTTGGCCTTCGCGTTCGCATTTGGCTGGCCGCGTTTTCATAAAAGCCTGGGCCTGGGCAACTCCGTTGCCTTACGCGTTTGCGTGTTGGGCCCCGCGTTCGCGAGGAGTAGGCGCCCCAATGCACCACGTTCGCATGGGTACTCTTGCGTTCACGTAGAACCTTTTTCCTGGGCTCTTCAGTTTAGCCTTCGTGATCGTGAGAGCTCGGTCGTGATCGCGATTAAGGGCCACTGGGCAGAAATATTTTTAATGTCGGGTCTTAGGCATTTTAGCTCATTTCTTTCATCTCTTGGGCGATTTTGGAGCTCTTTGAAGAGGGGTATTCACTCAGCACTTTGAGGTAAGTATTTTCTATATGAGATGAGTTTAATACATGTATTTTTGGGTTGATTCTTAGCACATAAAAGGTGTGTTTGGTATAACGAAAAATGTTTTCCATGGAAAATATTTTCCATGAAAATATTTTCCATGAAAATATTTTCTTGGAAAACAAGTAATTTTATTTATTTTTCGGTGTTTGGTACGCAACTTAAGGAAAATAACTTCTCAAGTGTATTCATAAATAATTTAGATACAATAAACATGAAGCCATAAACTTTCGAACCAACAACCTTCCGAACCCACAAATTTCACAAACTTCCGAATTGCTAAACTTTCAAAACCGCGAACTTTCGAACCCATAAACTTTATAATTTCTAAACCCGTAACCTTCCAAACACTTAAACCTCCGAGCTCATAACTTTGGAACTTGTAAAATTTCGAACTTGTAAACCAATAGATGAAAAATCTAAAGCTGAAAATTTATTAAAAAAAGAAATTCTCCGGGGTGGGGTGGGAGTNTTGAGAAAGAATTTTGGAAAAATGTTTTCCCTTCTTTTGATAAGGAAAATATTTTCCTCCAATTGGAGGAAAATGAGTTCATAAGGAAAATTATTTCCAAAACAATTAAGCCAACCAAACATGGAAAAATTAGAAAATATTTTCCGGAAAATATTTTCCTTTATACCAAACACATCCAAAGTGTAAAAATTGTGGGTTTAGTTGAAGGTTTTGATAAAAATGGGATTTAATCACGAAAATAATTATGGAATTGGGTAAAATTTATATATTTGAGTTTGTGGAGTTTTGGGTAACAATTATCTTTAAAAATTTTCGGAATCCGGGCACGTGGTCCCGGGGGTGAAATTTAGGAATCTTCCAATTTGGATTGGTAATTACTCTAATAGTTAAATTATAAACTTTTGAGTATATATTGACTTATCTATATATCTATAATTGAGGGGCATAGCCCCAGTGATGTGGCACTCTTCTGAGCCAGGATTTCAACTTATCTTTTTTCTCAATGTTTTACTTTTTCTCTATTATTTTACTTCTTTCCTCTTTGTTTCAGTTTTTTTGGCCCTTCGGTTAAACACTCAAAACTCATGCCCCTTCGTTACTTTTCATTAAACCTACCTCTATTGACCATTATCTTACTTAGAAGAAGCAACGTTTTAACAGAGCCTAACTGCTGCATTGTTCAAAAGTCTTCGCCTGAATAAGAAAAAAACGCAAGCTCAAGTTTGGTCTTTCATTGAACAAACAAATTTTTTGTCTAAACTGTTTCTCATCATGAAAGCTGGCTTCAACTTATTACCGATTTACATTGAGATATTTTGCCTTCTTCCACTTTCTATGTTAAAGAGGTTAGTTTTCTCATCATCGTAAAAGTATTATAGGCTGTTTATGCTGATTGTCGCTTCCGTTGTGTTTAATTTGACGTATCTTCCTATTCTTAATAATGAATTTTGCTACATTGGAAAGTAAATCCTGAAACTTAGCTTTCAAGAACAATTTTGCAAAATAGTTAAAAAGGCAAAAAGACTTGAAAAATGGACAATAAAATTACTATGGCTATATGTACTAACAGTCCCACTTCCCTTGAAACTCGACTTACTTTAAAACTTCTTCCATAGAGAAAATTTTTTGCAACTCAACTAACAGGAAAAACTATTATAAAAAGATACGTCTTGCAAATTTCACAATGCCTTTGTTTGCGCAATGCATTCTATGTTGTCGAGTGACCCCATACTTAAATTTAAGTGCATGTATTTTGGAATAGGATGGGTTTTAGTTAACTTGTTTATTTCCTACACACGTTGATGTGTATAAAAGGTTGACCAGTGACTCAATTTGGCATTACTTTTTACCCTGAGAATGGTAACGGTCAGTTTGACGTTTCATCTTCTCCCTTATAATTCATTACCACTAAAAAGCATATCTTAAAAAAAAAAGAATTGGATTGTTCTATTGTGTACTTTATTACGAACTCCTTAATTGAATGATTTTGGAGATTTAATAATTAAATAACTTTTTTTTTAAATTCTACTTCACATTTCTACTAATTTTCAGTTTTTATTAGGTGTTTCTCAAGCACAAATTTTATAGGCTTTTGTCTGCCATAGTGGGATATCTTTGAATAATTAATTCCAACATGTTAGTTTTAAAACTATACATTGCTTTGTAGGTGCATGTGTATTTTGAAAAAAAATACTTTAATTGTTTGATTTCGGCAGTACAATTTTCTGCCTTCATGATTTTGACTTTAATAAAAAAGAAAAGAGAACATCTCTACAATTTTGCTTCTTCTCTTGAGTGAAGTTGCGGGTCTATAAATTGTCAATTGGCATCAACAACTAAAAATCATATAAGATGGTTAAAGGAAGAGGGAAAATTATCACTCTCGAGATATTTTGGTGACAATATTGTGGAGCTCAAATTCCTCTTGAGAAATAAGAATTATAGAGTTTTCAATGCTCCACGAGTGGTATGATTTGTACAAAGATTTTTTCCTTTTCGGTTGTATAAAATTTCATAATGCTTTTCTATTTCTTTTTCATCTTTAATTATTCATCATGTATTTCTACATGTAGGCTCGTCCTGATGGGATAGATGAACCATTTGCACGACATAAACAAATAGTTTTTGAGAAAACTATGCATGAAAAATGTTATTTGATCAATTATATTGCAGTTTTTATTTCCTTTTCCCCCTATTTTTTGTAAGAATAAATAAAACTTTGATTTTGTACATTTAATATTATTTTCAGAGAAGAGTACACTGTACAATATACATATAGGACGAGAATTAAGCTTTATTTTTTTTTGGTGTTGTTGCTCCAAGCTAGGCCAAAGTTCCATTGACTTTTATTTTAATACTTTTTTTTATATTAGGACCTAACCTTCATGCATGATCTAATTTTAGTGTATTCACATAAGGATGTAAGGTCTATAGCATGGTACGGTGAAGCTAGCTCCAACATACAAGTTCTTCTGGATTTTCAAGACCGAGTCAAAGTCAAAAAACAAGGTTTAAGCAATTAGAGCAGGGTATGCTCATTTTTCATTCTCTATGTGCTATTAAAACATTGGACAAATATAGCTATCCGCTCATAAAATTTATGCCAAAGCTTCATTTCTAGGAACGAGATGAAGTTTTGCGGTTTTTGAATACTAAATATTGTTATTTCCTTCTCATGAACTACACGCGTGGTACGCCTTCTATTTTTTGAAAGATCTTTTATCTCCTTTGTTGTTCAAGAGTGCCATAACTTTATTTTTAGGCCTTTTATTCTTATCATGAATAGTTTTGGATCGTCTAAAATGACTTTCATTTTGTGATCTGTTTTAGTTGGTGCGTAAATGGAACAACATAACATAAGATTGTATATATTGGTGCACTTTCAAGTTTCAATTGCAAATGGGAGCACATCCGTCTAATGTACTTTAATTTACTATTTAAAGGAGAAGTTCAAATATTAAATGTAACTTCAATGATCTTCTTTATAAAAAGAAGCTCAATTATTTGTAGCTTTCAATATCATGGAAGTTGTACATTTTAAATTTAGTATAAGGGGCGTGTCATGGATATCAAGTTCACATTGCACCTCCAAGATGTATCTTTTGCAATTTTATTGCATGACCTATCTCAAGGCCATGACCTTATAAATTATATTTTTAGACTTCATATTTAATCATTAACCAAGTAATGTCAAGAGGAAAAATTATTGTTCTCCATTTCATTTAGTAACACACTTAATCGATTACACTTAATTGATTAGCAAGACTTGATTTTTCTTAGCAAAAGTAATGATACTAGATATTTGATCATATCATGATTTTACTTTATAACCGCGCGAAGCGCGACATATTCACTAGTTTATATAATATTTGACTAGTTTCGGGTTGTTTGGCACCAAGTTGAGGATTTAAAGCGTATTTGTGGACCAGAAGTGAGCTTGAGAACGAGGTAAGTCTCTTGCCTAACCTTGTAAGAGGGAACTCACACCCTTAGATATATTTTTATTGTGAATTACTTGTGTGGGGAGCTACATACGCACTAGGTGACGAGAGTCCGTGCATAGCTCTGGATAGTCTTAGGACTACATCATGCTTTAATTGTACTATCATGTTTGTTATGCATATTAATTAACTTGAATAAAAATGAGACTAGAGATTTTAAAGTTGAAACATCCAAGTTAGATTTCTTATTTTTGAGAAAGAATTGAAGAATATTTAATAACTTTGAGAAATCCATGTCCTCTCACATCGCAAGTACTTCCACGAGCAAGGTAAACTTCTCTATTCTCATGGGAGCAGGCCGTACAACCTCGGCATAAATCGTGCGTGATAATACTCGGAGTCTAAGTATACTTGATATTATTTTATGTCTTGAGAGGTTATAATTATTCAATGAAAGAAATTGACTTGGAATTTACTATTAGTGAAAGAATTATTTAGTCATTGCTTGTTATTGAATTATATTATTAGTATTTACATAACTCATGCTTATTTAGAATTTCTGTATTTTATTTGTTGGCACATAGTATGTGTCGATATCGACCCTTCGTCACTACTTCTTCGAGGTTAGATTGAATACTTACTGGGTATATGTTATTTATGTACTCACGCTACACTTCTGCACTAATTGTGCAGGATCTGAAGTAGGTGCATCTGACAGTCACCCCGACGCGCACCCCTGGTACCCCAAGACTTAATGGTGAGCTGCTTTCCGAGCCCGTTCTGCAGCGCCCGGAGTCTCTCTTTTGTATTTATTTTCTGTTTACTCTGTTTCAAACAGTAGTTTAGAGTTTTGTATATTCTACTTGTAGCTCATACACTTGTGACACCAGGTCTTGAAAAATATGCTAGTAGATATTTGATGACTTTTGAGTATTCACTTCACCACACTTGTTCTTATATTTGTTTATGCTTTATTTTATTAAAAAAAATTCACCTCTTATTACTTAATAAATAAAAACCAATTATTTTCAAGTTGTCAAAAAGGAACAATCATATGGTTAGTTCACCGTTGGCTTGCCTAGCAGAGACATTGGGTGCCATCACAGCCTATAGAAGAAATTGGGCCGTGACAACATGGGATCAGAGCACTAGGTTCATATAGGTTTCACAAGTTATAAGTAGGCCTAATAGAGTCTTGTGGATTGGTGCGGAGACGTCTGTCCTTATCTTCGAGAGGTTATGGGGTGTTAGGAAACTACACGTTCTTTATCTCCTATCGTGCAGTTGATGTTGTACTAACTATCTTTCTCTTATTCTCTCACAGATGATGAGAGCGCGTGCAGCGGATGTTCCCGACCATGGAGGAGCTGCTCCCCCTGTTGCTAGAGGTAGAGAGAGGGATCTAGCTCGTGGTAGAGGACGATGGCGTCCTAGAGTTGCTTCGGTGGTGCCACCAGTGGATCTAGTGAAGGATCCTGTTATTGAGGAGCAGCGCAAGGTGCCTGTAGCGGAGCCAGCCCTAACAGATTTTATGTCCACACCAGGATTCCAAGAGGTAATGGGTCGTATGATGCGGTTCATGGATTCTATGACTCAGGCTGGTCTATTTCCAGCATATCCAGCCACATCTCAGGCGGGAAGGGGAGCACAGACCCTACCACTCAGGATCTTGGGCATGCAGCTGTCGTATATCTGTCCCTGGGCGCATTACCTGTGGGCAGAGCCCAGTCAGTTGCAGCAGCTATACCTGAGCCCAGACCAGCTGCGGCCGGCAAACCGCAGAAGTTATTTGATTGATGGACTAGGACACATGAGGCCCCCAGGAATTTATTGATTGCAGGGATAGACTGCACTACATGAGGATATTGGAGTCCCACGGGGTGGACTTTACCACCTTTCAGCTGGAGGGCAGGGCCCGTAGATGGTGGCAGTCCTATCTTCTTGGCAGACCAGCAGGATCTCCTCCCTTGACTTGGGACCAGTTCACACATATCTTTCTGGATAAGTATATTCTACCCTCTCAGAGGGAAGAGTTGCAGTTTCAATTCGAGCAGCTCCAGCTGGGTCAGATGTTAGTGACTGGCTATGAGTCGACCAATGTAAAGAGAGTGCAGAGGTTTGTTGTTGGGTTTCACTCTGGTATCCAGGCCACAATGGCCCGAGAGGTTGAGATGGGGACTTCTTATAAGATAGTCGTGGAGATAGCTCGAAGGATAAAGGGTGTTCGTCAGCGAGACGAGAGTAGATATACCGCAGGACAGGCAGTTTCAATATTTTGGAGGGTTCAGTGGCGCCCGTCTAGGGGAAGAGATCAGTTTGTGAGAGGTAAGTCTAGTAGGCCCACATATCCAGCACTACTGCCTTCTCGGGGTGCCCTAGTGCGGCCCTATTTCAGTGCCATTCCAGAGAGCTCCTACCGTCCACTAGCTATTCAGGGTTCCTCTAGTGCGTATTCAGGACATCAGGACCAGTCTTCAGGTCAACAGCCCACCGCTTCGAGGTGTTGTTTCGAGTGTAGGGATCTTGGCCACATGAAGAGGTTTTTCCCCAGGCTTCGGAGCAAGGCAGTACGGCATGGTCATCAACCTATGATTACAGCACCAGCCGCCGCACCAGCCATCCGGCTACCCAGAGGCGGAGAGTAGGTGGGTAGGGACCGTCTTAGAGGTAGAGGCCAGTCAGGTGCATGCCAGTTAGGTGGAGTCCAGTCATAGCCGCGCTCCATCTAGGTTCTATGCTTTCCTAGCCAGACTAGATTCAATGGCCTCAAATGCCGTGATCATAGGTATTATTTCTGTCTGCGGTAGGGATGCTTCGATACTGTTTAATCCAGGGTCTACATATTTATATGTGTCATCTCTGTTTTCTCATTTCTAGGGTGTTCCTCGCAAGTCCTTGGGTACTCCTGTATATGTACCAGTGGGCGACTCTGTTATTGTGGATCGGAGCCCTCCACAACATTACTACCCACCGCCAGATCCCCATTTTTCCGTCCATCATGCACAAACCTATACCCAAACTCCGGTATAGACATGTGATTTTTGACCCTCCCCAAGATCTTTCATATATTAGCGTAAAATATTAATTTAGGTATAATATAGATATTTTAAGTAATTTTGACTCTTTCACTTTATTTTAGTACAAGAAAACAAAAATTACAACAAAATATATATATATATAATAATATAATAATAAGTTCATTAATATTGGTAGTCATTTTTAATCCAAAAGAAAAATATAAAAACAGTATAGTATTTTTATTTTTAATATAATGTTTGAAAATAGAAAAAATAGATTGGTTTTAATGATTAATTTTGTTTTAATAAATTATTTTAATAGTAGGGCTAATTAATAAATGGGCGCGTATTTTTAATCTCATCCGCGACAAAAGAATAGAGCTTGGGCTCGAGCAACCCAGCTTTAGGCCTAATTTTGGACCTAGCCCACAATTGCCAAGCCCATAACTCCTAGGCCCACACCCCTTAACCTAAAAACCCTACCCAAAAACCCTAGACTCTACACTATAAAAACAAGCCTAAAAGACTAAACAAGGGACGGGAAAAAAACAAGCTGGAAAAGAACACAAAAGGCTGCGCATGAAATAAAAAAAGAAGGAAGAGGCTGGAAAGGAGAAAAGTTGTGTGACCCAAACAACCCCACCCCCACCCAGATCGTCTTCCTCGCACTCCACCACCTCCCTGAACCCAAACGACCTTACCTCTAAGAACGATCCTTCTTGAATTCGCCGAAAAATAAAGGGGAACGGAGAGAGGAAGGGGCTGGGAAAAGGGAAGCGGGGAAAGAACGCAGAAGGCTGCGCAAAAACAAAAAAAATGAAAGGGGAACGGGGAAAAGGAGAAGCTGTTGCGCATGAAGGAGTTTTCCTTCTTAGTTTAAGAAGCTTATAGAAGCAGCAGCTATAAGGAGCTGCAGAACATGAAAACAACACCCCTTCACATCGTCGTCTTCTTCGACGGACGTCGAGAACCAGCCATCACCCCATTTCCACCTTCATCCTCATCCCTCTCCCCAAAGAACTGAAACCACCACCATAGCAGCCCTTTCCCCCATCGACGCACATAACCATACACACATACAGCAACAGTGGGAGATCGGGAGTCAATGGAACAATAGCCTCGTTAGGTTTGTTCAAGCTGTCCGTTTGTGAATCTGAGGTTGCGATGCGAAGTCCGTCGTTGAACTTTGTCGCGTTTCCGGCGAGTTCCGAAGTCTGAGTCGTGGTTCTAATTCGAGGTTGCGAGTCCGGTTCAAGTTAAAATTTCGTCATTTGGCACTCCATTATGACTGTGTAAATTGCTGAAAATTTTAGTTGAATGAAGCTTAAATTTCAGATTCTCTGAATTGTCGATTTTTATGCTCGGCTGGTCGATTGTTAGTTTTTGGTTTGTCTATGCTTCGTTGCCATTAATATCGATTAGCGACGTTTGAATTGATGACTGAATGAGTTTGAGCTTTCCGTCGAGCTTTTAGTTTGTCGATGGTCGTCGTCTAAGGAGACTCCGTTTCAGTCCTGCGTTAAGGTGCCGTTTGGTTGGTTTCCGGTTTGAATTCCGTCACCAGTTCCAAGTCTCAATCAGTGGCTCATTTCCATGTTGCTGTTTTGCTTTGGTGTTCATTTCTCTGTTCGCAGCACAAAAGCTCAGATCCAATAATAAAAGATCCATTTTTGCCTCCTGTTTAAACACGTATTACATTTTCTTTCTTGATAGGTTTTCTTCTAAATGTTCTACGTATTTCCTCTTTATCTCGTTGTCTTATTTTGACTAATTTATTTTATTTGCTTTAGTTTAATGATTTAATTAGATGAACATTAATTGCTTATTCTACTACTGAATATCTAATGGTTTAAAGATAAGAATATTTATTTAAATAACAATATATGTGGTCAGCAATTGGGTCCTACTGGGTTATGATATTTGGATTTAAAGGCATACTTGGAGTGCTGGGAAGGATTTTACTCTACTGAGCTTAGAAACTTTATACTTTCACTTTGTTTGGTTATATTATTAGTTAGTAGTACGACATTAGCTGACCTTATGTGGGTAGGCAAACTTTTCGGAGCCTAAATAAATGGTCGTGGCTACGGGTACGGTTCCCGTGACGTAGTTGTGATACACAATTTTAAGACCCGGGTGCGCATTGATGCGACCCAAATCCAAATCTCGATGAAGTCGAAATATGTTGACAATCACGGGTCCATTGATTGCGACGTGGTTCGAAACGCGTTTTCGCAACATCGTAATTCTTATAAAATAATGATAGAAAAGAGGTTCACAAATTAAGACGAGCCTCACTACACAAAAATAAATAAATGTGGGGCCCTTAGTAAATAGTTATCGAAATAATTAGAATTTGGGATGGCCGTTTAGCGAACTTCACGGTTTTTCCCCAAAGCAACACTACGTTAGTATCTTTAGGCACGATTTAATTAAATAACTTTCTTAAAAATCGGGTGCGCATTGATGCGACTCAAATCCAAATCTCGACGAAATCAAAATGTGTTGATAACTACGGGTGCGTTGATTGCGACGTGGTTCGAAACGCGTTTTCATGACGTCGCAATTCTTTAAAAAAATAATTATAATAAAAGCGTTTTACAAATAAAAAGCATATAGCTAGCATGTATTAAAATCAGATAAAATTAAATACAACAATTAAGCGACCGTGCTAGAACCACGGAGCTCGGGAATGCCTAACACCTTCTCTCGGGTTAACAGAATTCCTTACTCGGATTTCTGGTTTGCGGACTGTTAACAGAGTCATAAATTTCCTCGGTTCGGGATTCAACCGGTGACGTGGGACACCATTAATCTCCCAAGTGGCGACTCTGAATAATCAATAATTAAATCCCGTTCCGACTGTCCTTTAATTGGAAAAACTCCTTTACGCCTCTTCCGGGGGTGTAAGTGAAAAA